CGACCCCTTTTTCCTTTCGCCCCCACCGACCTGGGTGCGCTGAAACTCGCACGCCCCTGTCTTGCGTCCCGAAATGACCTCGCACATCGGACTTCGTCAGACATGCCGCTTGAACCGCCGCCGCTCAGTCCCATCCCTGCCCACGTCAACGGCGATGCGATCAGTCGGCCAGGAGTTGGAGCGCCGAGATGACCCGTTTTTGGTCTTCTCCCATGAGTGTACGCCCTGTCTATTGCTTTTCAATTGACTAATGTGATTGACTATGGCACAGAGCGACTTCGAATGCCATTTGTTTCTAAACCTTTGTCGAACGTCATTCCCCTGTTTTGCCCGCGTTCCTCGCGCTTGCAGGGGTATCTCGGATCTCCTCGCCACTGGATCCATTCTTCGGCATAGTTGTTACTGATGTTACATCGCACAGCCCCCGGCGTCGCAGATTCACCTGCGCCTGCTCGTTCGTGAGCCTGGTGGCGGCCTATCGTCGTCATGGTCAGACTCACCGGCCCCGCTGTAATGAGCTAGGCTACCTTCGACATTTCAACTCGGTGGCATGAGCCAATAGCAAATCTCGCGTCTGCAATGGACCGCATAAGGACCTTGGTCTGCGAAGATGGCGTGACGTTGTCTTGTCGAGGCTATACTATTGGCAGTGAGACTGGGAGCTCTATGACTACGTTTTTTGGGGGCGCTCCGGATCGGATGACCCGATATGATGGGAAAACATTCAGCGGCATGAGAGTTTTATCCTATCGCGAGGCTGATTTCATGGGTATAAAGGACACTGGCTGTTCCACCCGAATAGCACTTCGGCACCTCAAACCTGTTCCGATTCCCCGCTCCCATTTCTCCCAATTCCATATCAATTGCAGCTCCATTCCCCCTTCCAGTGTCCCTCTGGCGAATTCGTACTATCCCCACGCCCTAACCCTTCCAAGTTACCCCTGCACACAACTTGTTGAGCGCCAGTTATCGCTTGGAGTCCTTCCGGCCTTGTAATCTTCCCCAAGAGAAAGTACAGCCTTTACGGAATCGCCTCGGTACTCGGTACCCAAGCCCAGTCTCCATATCTGCGACGCCTTCATCCTCCAATATTAGCAATCCTATTTCAAAGACTCAGGAGACACATGATTCAAGACTTGAGCGACATCCCCTACCTTTTCGCCCACCGGCAGAGGTTTGCTTCAATGGTGGTCCACAACCGAACGCTGAAATCACTCGACCCGAGCCGGAGATATTGGAGACAACATCTCCGACTTACCCTGGCCCTAACGCCTTCAATTTTGAAGACTCCCTATACCTTAACGATCCTTCAACTGTAAGAGATGGTGATCATACAATGACACGCGAACACATCGTCCCGGATTCTGAGCACCAATCGCTTAGCTTCGACTCAAGTGGCTCGGAGCTCGCTTTCACTCCTGATCAACACTCTCAATTTGAGGTTCCTGAAATCCCCCTTGAAAGCTTTATACAGGCCGGACACTTTGCCGAAGATCTGACAATCGATCCGGCAATCCTGGACGATAATCGTTCGAGCGATGTTGAGCTGGCTCCAACAACACCAACTACCACTATCGCCGCAGCCATTCCACGCAGAATCCCAGTTGAACACTCTCGCTCCCCGGTTCGGGATGCCGGTCACCACAGCAGGCAACACGATCCTAACATGTCAGTGAAAATCGGTCAGCTGCCTGCCAAAATCAGCAAAGTCTCAGTTGTCGTCGACAATCGCCCCGAAAGAAGGGCCAGACGGTCCACTCTGGAACTCGGCCGCAAGAACGTATCGCTTCCGGCATTTTGTGCTCAATTCTCCGCCCTTCCGGCCGAGGAAAGATTACAGTTCTTGTCCTGGCTGTTCGAGGGTGCCTTGTCTCATTGCATCCATACGCCTCCGAGAAGGGATACAGTCCCGACGCCTAGATCTCAGCACACAAGCATGAATGCTCAACCGATCGATGCGGGACTCACTTTGAGAAAAGGGCTACCATGGTGCGAGGAAGAGGCTCGCTTACTCGTAAACCTCAAAGAAGAAACCTTCCATGGTCGGAGGTGACTGAGCGTTTCGGTCAGAAATTCAGAGGAAGGAGTCAAGGCTCTTTACAGGTTTACTGGAGCACAAGGCTTAGGAAATGACAGCCGTCCCCAGCTAAATATGTATATAGCTAATTACATCAACTGATTTCACGATGTAAACAGCGGACCTGTGATTCGCCTGTTCGAGTTGGTTTTGCCTCTTAATTTAGCGCCTCAATACGCTATCATGTAACAACCACTCTCTATAACGTCATTACCTACGGGCAAGCCAATCACCTTGATTTCTATTGCTCAAAAGATGACAGGCAGCTGGCTGGAGCGTTCAAATTTCCTATTCCAAACACATGTAAGTCTTCTTTCGGATCACACTTATCATTCACTTACTGATACGGTTTCGCTAAGTCAAGCCTTCTGCACTTCCTATTGACTTTCAGATGAATACCATTGGGAATGCAATCAGGGCATGGGTCCTTTTTGGTTGTTTGACTAAAGTGGCCTGTTGCCTTGATTGTACCATAACTGCCGGACCCATTATGTGGCAGGATGATCCTAGGGGATCAAACTATATGCCGACATAGATAAACAGTCTTGTTAAGCATTCAAGCATCTGTTTGAACTAAGAAGAGATGAGTAACGGCTGTGGTCAGAGGTGACAAGCTCGTTTTTGATCGATATCCCGGAAGATGTCCTGCTGCAACCCAAGTATACTGGAGGACGTGCGCCGAGAAAGCCAGAAAAAGAAGCAAAAGATCTGGTCCTTAGTCATTGCTTTGAGAAATAATTGAAAAAAAGAAAAAGACAGAGATGATCGAAGGGCGGACCGTGCAATCAGATGGCTGTGTTCTAGAGCATGCATTTACAGAAATGGAATCGGCAATGCATTGCTCCGGCGATACTATTTCTCTATAAGAACCCACTAAACTCCCCCAAAGACATAGTCTACTTGATTCGCTAGCATCATACTGCTCTAGCAGGTTTTCCAAATGGAGTCAATCAAAGTGAGTATCTGTTATGCTTCACTTGCCAGCACGTCTTTAACCCAGACTTACAGACCATGCGTATTCAAGCTAGTATGGGCTGCGACCTTTGTTATCAGTGTTCTGACTTCCACCATTCCGTCTTCCATCTCCACTGTGTGATTCAATCGTTAGGGCCCAGTTTATCCGATGCGATCCTCCTGGCCATTCCACTGGGCAAGGACCAGTTTGAATTAGCAGTGCAACAAGAATCAACTGCTGAAATTCGAGAACAGTTCACTGATCAGACCCATTGGCGTCTGCTGAGCTCCGATCCTCTTTTCGCAGCCGAATTCGGCCGTTCGTATGCGGAAAGCGCATGCAGAGGGCTGACGCATATTAGAGACCAATACAACTTGGCGGAGAGTACGGTCTTTGCGTCAAATGATCCGCGACTCATCAGATGGTTCAATCTTGAAGTGGGTCGCATCAACAAACTTCTAAATCACTTCCTGCACCAGGGTGTCCCGATGGTCTGAGGGGGAGTGGTGTTTTGAGAAATGGTAGTGTGGAGAATAAATGTTAAGAGCCAGGCTTTTTCACATATAGTCAATTTTGTCTAGATTTATCGAAAACCGGAACATTATCAGTATGTTTGTGAGTGTGCCCACATGTACATCGATTCAATTTACAGCTGAGGCTTTGGTCGACTGGCCAGACCTCTGCGTGGGATCCAAGCTAAGCACATTTTCCCGTCGCCCTAGCAGACCAATCAGGTGAGTGAGGATATAATTATGGGTATTTTTCAGTTTGAGAAGATTTGAGAATTTGAGAAGGAAACCCGAACATGAGCGAGAGAGCGAGAGAGAAGCCCATTATTACTTAGCGTAGACATCCTCCTACAAGTGTTGAATCTAATTATCACATATTGTCACAAAATTTAAGCACTTGACAAAAAGGGGAAGGAAGTGGGCAATTGTTTTGACTAATCTTGGGATAGCCAGAATTTATCTCATATCCCGGAGTAGTATAGCTCAGAATTAACATCCTACAATTCCTGCACATTCACATTGACATTGAGTTCCGAAGCATCATTTCAGGGTCAATGCGGCGGTTGCGCGACCAAATGTGACATCCAGCTGAGAATCACCATGGGAGGCGAAAGGCCTGATCTCCCGTCCCAAAGTAGTATAGCTCAGAATGCACACCCTACCACCAAGTTGGCTTGAAGCTTTCCACCGCTTCCCTTGTGCCATGATGTTCTCGGATCTCCCCATAGCTGAACCATCCCATTGTCACCTTTCCTTTAGATTCAGCCAAAATTTGTAGGTTCGCTGTACTCAACGCACATCTCTCATAGTCGACAGACAGCACTTTGATAACTTTTCCTTCTGGCTTGCCACTTGTTAGGTTATATGGCAAAATGGGCTCTGGGTTTTTGCCGTAGGGGGGCATCCCATCGCCGCGAAGATTCATATCTGACGGCCTGCTTGATTGCACTTGTAATTTTGACTCCTTGCAGGAATAGCGGTCAGATATCCCAGGATAGGTCATGTGTGGTTGAGGCTGTGTTCTAACCCTATGGGAGGAGTCCGGTAGTTCCGTTGAGTAGACTGCGGCCTCGCTCTGGATGGTCAGTTTGCGCGAGTCGAGGTGTTTTTCGGCGTACCTTTGAGAATCCCAGACACGTCGCTAGCAGTGCGAAGATATTGACGCTTGGCCTAGAATTGTTTACTGAACTGTGTGCCATGGTCGGTGGATGGAAGATAGATCTCAAGCTTCCCGGCTCAAAACTCATCCTTTATATATTGAAATCATGATCACAAAGGTACGTATTTCTTTCAGGGGCATAGATCTACTGTCACCGGGTCTGGGTGGGCCTGGATTCTACACAACCAGCTCTTTGGGGATTCATTCTATCCTATACCCATTTGGTCACCCAAGTTTCTGAGTCAGCTGCACAGGAGTATTCAAGCTACACAACCGTATCTCCTCTTTCACGTATCGACTATGCCAGCACGCCGCAATTCACCAGTCACCGCGGAGGGTTTCCTTCACGACCTATCCGCTCAGATGGAACATTTCTTGGGATTTCTGGAAGTTGATCTCACTCCAGCTATTGTGCAAATGGGCGCGACAAGTGACTGCTCAAGTGCAGTTGATTTTATTTCACATGGTGCGAGTTCACGCTTGTGGATCCTGCGCCTACAAACCATTCTTCGATGGTCTTCTCTGGCCTTGAGAGAGGAAGAATGGCTACGAACGCAAGGATTAGAGCGCGCACTTCCGGGTAGTCATGTGCGTGGTGTCTGGTCAATGCCAACTTTCCTTCGTCATCTCGGGCGTTCAAACGATCATAATGCTTGCAGTGATCTTCAACAGGGACGAAAGCTTCGGAGGTTTGAGCTTGAGTTTGGTGAGGGAATCGCTCTTTTGTTGGCTCCAGTGTTGCCTACTTTCCGTCGATTGCCCCTTGGCGAGGAAGCTAGAGCTATGCGGCTTCTTAAAGCTAGCCATACCGATATTCTTTGTCACGCAGAGCGACTGCTGGTTTCTAAATCCAAGTATCAAACACTGGTAGTGATCCGTATCCTTTTTTCTATCTTCTAGCTAACCCAGTTTTTGTCTAGCTTCCGTGTCCAATACTTCCGATGCACTAAGGCACGAACCACTTAAACGGCCATGAACTCAAATACCTCCGGCCCAAGCATGTCAAGCCCCATTGGTTCCCCACTGTTCCCTTCCCAGACAAAAGAGCCCCTAACAGGAACTTCTATCTCCATTCTGATCGATCCTTTCACAAAAAGAATTTCGTTTGGCCGCAGCTTCCGCACAACGGGGCAGGTCTCCCGCGTTGCTTCCTTCGGTAAACCTGGGGGGTAGAACTTGAAAGCCACTCTGGTTTCGTCAATATTCGAAAGATCTCGAAATATAGATACCGCATTACAAGATGGGTGCGCAAGCTTGGTGCCCCAGGTTGAGTGGTTTTCGAGGGAGAGAATGATGACAGGACCCTGACGAAGGAGAAAATCTACATCGCCTATAGCCTCATGGATTTTTCCAGAGAACTATAATTTGTCAGTCTTGATTCAATATACTATTTTAACAAACCTACCACGTCGTTTTCCTCTGCCCCACATCGCAAAAACCGCCCACATGTGTCTGCATCCCCTCTCCCATAGACAAAAGGACCCTTTTCTTTTTTGGATCTCAAATGTAGAGACCGCTGCACCTCAGAATCTATGCCGATTCCATCGGAGGAAGCCGAGAACACGACGAAGCCAGTGATTTCCATTTCCGATGGATGTTGCTCATTGTAACGAGCCGATTCAATCTGCGCTGTTGTCATCTTTGCGTTCCTGTACCGGGTCAAACAGTCTAGCTTGATCAAGGATAGTTGCAACTGAAGGTAGGAGGGGTTCAGAAAAACGAGACAGCGAGGTCATGAAATTTATATGTTTGGCGAATTCATATGATCGAGATGAGGGATCTTGTAATTCAACTAGTCGTCTGTAGTCCAAAAATGAAAGAAAAAAGAAAGGAAAGTTTTATGGCGATCAGACAAAAATGGCTGGCAGTCGCCCACGAAGCCACTTCATATGGCGGGTTCTTCTTGAAGACAGGGCATAGCTTTAAACTCTTCATTGCGAGAAGATGGATATATGTGCATGCCTGTACATATAAAATATAAGTAAACAAAAAAATCTTATCCCTGGCGAAGACTATAGACAAAACGTCGTACTAGTGGACCCTCCAACCATGTATACTCGTCAATACCCGCACGCCTCACTTCTTTTTGTATCCGATGATCCCAGTTCAACGCATGATCTGACCTTAGGTGGCAGCCCATCCAAATGGTTCGTTATATTCTCTATAAAAGTGCCGGTGCCATTGATCACGGAGTTCATAGGGGTCTGATAGTGACGGTGAGCTATGTCGTGCAAGTTCTTTGAGGCTGTACTGTCTTGCCAGTTTACTTGGGGAGAGGTAAGTCCTTGGATGGTGGCTGGTGCGCCACATATTGCTGGGCAGGTGATATCGTGGTGAATGTTTGTCTCGATCCTGGGGCCATAAGGATATGGAGGCTCAGTGCACAGATCAAGATTGGCGGACGCTGCGAAAGTATTTCCAACACTGCACTGTGTACTTATCATTCCTGCGTTCGTGCTGGGTAAGGGCTGCGATGATAGATTGGTGTATTGGGGCCACAAGGTGTAGCCGCTGAGACTGACTGGTAGATCATGTATCGACGCTGAAGACAGATCATCGATTGGTGTGTCCAGTGGAGAACAATCTTGCTTAACAGGCTTTGACGCCAATGGTTCTTGCGCGGGGTGCTTGGGTTTTTCAATGAAGGGGGAGACTGCGTTGATGGTCTTGTCTTCGTTGTCCTCAAAAGGGTAAACATTCACGATGGTATATCGGTCTTGGTCACATCGAGTACGTTGGTCACATATCTAAATACCACAAAATATGGAAATCATTTCTTCCTGCTTGAAGCATGGGTTCTTTCAAATTTGACCTTCGGTCTCAGTCTAAGTCGGGAGGTATCTCTAGGTTTGCAACATAGAATGTATTTTCTATTTATTCAATCAATGACAATATACAGCATAGTTCCTACTGCACATCCACGGACATAAGGGTTTGGAACTATGGGACTCTTTTATTTGTTTGACTCTGAAACGTATGGTTTATATCAACAATATTTGACCCGGTCTATCCGTGACTTTATTGTAGGTCCCACTTTGGGAAAATAAAACGTCGAGGACGATTCAGCTTCGGGATATCAACCCACCAAGTTGGACAGAGCTATTCACATCTGAGATATCTGTTACTATGTATTTTATATATGTAGGTGAGAAGATATTATGCATACCAAGTTGCCCCATTTCGTACTGTTCCTCCTTTCCCCTAATATGAAGCATCTCTTCTATAACCCATTGTTCTTGTACCGAATTTCGCAGGCTTGGAATATACTTTGTTAGGCGGCCAAAATATATAGACTTGACTCCGCGAAAGAGGCAAATTAAATCGGGGATTATCTCTGGTTTATCAAGATCAGCCTAAACATGAAGTGTACATATGGGGGCCTTCCTGATGTAGGTCTGCAAGAAGGCGGTTTTTGGAGTATCACCCAAAGCTCTTCTTGCGTAGTAGGACGGAGCGATCGAAATCCTGATCCGTAGTATTTGTTTAGTGCGGATGTATTGCTTAGGGGTATAGCATTGGGAGCGATCGCGAGAGATGTATTCATGGCGGGTATGAGCTCAACGATCTTCTAACAAAGGATGCCCTGGGGGACCTTCAACTTCAAGACTTTAAGCGTGTGCTATAGATCGAAGCTAGTATCATCCTTGAGCTGTTGAATTTGCTGGTTTCGGCCACGGAACCATCGCGATGCTTCACTATTCCCTTTTCGGCGCTTTGCCCTGGCAGATGGGCCTGATTCGAGGTCTAATATGCATGGAAGTAGAGGGATCCTGGGGCTGTCTATTTGCTCCGAGTGTCATTGAGGAGATGCGGAGGGTTTCGATGGCTGGATAAGATCCGAAGTAGATTGAGGATGGAGTAGGTTGCTGATATCCATTGCTTGATGCCACGGTAATAGGGAAAGATGGAAAGCGACATAGAGCAATTCCAGGAGGTAATTATGCCCTTTCTTTTTCATCGCCTTCTCGAGCGAGAGGGTCTGGAACAGCCTTAACGGTTCTCGTAAGTCAAACTAAATTATTTGTGCCAGAGGGCGCGAAAATCCTAGAACATTCTCCAAGACCGGCACCCCGGAGATATTATTACTGATTTTGTATCTGTTGAAGAACCACCCTCCAATATGTTAGGCTAACTGTTGCTTCGCTTCGGTAGTTATAAGGAGCTTAAAATTAATCTCCACATTAATCTCCACGTCATACCTTAGGGTAGTGATCACTGATTTAAACTTTTAAGCTGATCAAAGTGATATGGAGGGACACGAGCCTTTGACAAACGGAAATACTATTTACCGCTGTCTTGGAGATAACCCGCCATCCGCATCCATCAAGCCCGATTGGTGACTAACCAAATTAGTACGTTGACGTCTTGAAGAACGAGACTAGCGGTCACGTGATGTCACGTACGGGCTTGGTGGGGTCGTCTAATTCTGGATGAATTGAGTCACATGGAGATGGTCTCGCCTGTCGGGCACGCCTGCAGATCACGACCCCTCCACCTGCTCACCCGACTCTCATAAAATATGGCCATCAATTCCAGTCGGCCAGAGGGGGTCACTTCTTCCGAAATGCGACTCCAAACAATTCCCGAAAAATCGAAGCGAATAATCGACAACATGAGGGCGCTCATCGAGAGTGATAAGACAGACCACCTGAAGGTGGACACAAGAGGGTGGCAATATGGCGGCAAGAGCTTCACCGAGTTAGTAGTCTCGCTGCATAACGAGACGAAGGAAGAACTTCAACATCAAAATATCAGCGTGAGCATATCCCCAGCCCCGCCCCCTTATTTAATAAAGAGTTGCTCATAGACTACCTTGTAGGTGATCTTCTGCACAGTACGGCACTTCTTTAAAGGAGCGAATATAACCCCTTCCGATCCAGCCAAACGACTATTAGTCATCCCGATTAGCGGAACTTCCACCCTTTCGCCTGGCGGCCAGCTACCAATTGATACTTATTGCTATATCGATGATAAGCCGACACTTTCCGGTGAAGATATCGATGTTGTGTTTGTTGTATATGAAGTGAAAAATGAGAATGTATAGCGAGAAATGGCAAGAAATTTATATGTGTATGTTAAAAAACAGGCTGAGGTAAAGATCTGTCTGCTTGTGACAAAGGGACTGTTGCACTATCTCTTCGTGGAATTGTGTGGCTTTCGCTCTCTTGCCCAGTATGACCTGGCCCCGTCTGCGTGGTTTTTTCGAAATGGCCATACAGGTTTTCGGAATTCTTGAGCATCTCTTCCGTGTCTATGTAAAAGTCCGGATCTTGGAGAATATCCCAATCTTGAAGGGGGTCAAAATCCTGGAAAATATCATGATCCTGTAAGGGGTCAAAGTCTTGAAATGAAGTAAAATCACACGGCAGATTTTCAGTGCTAGAAGACAAAATCTCATTCGCCTTTTCACTTTCTGGGCAGTGGGACATATCCAACTCTGCACGGATGAGTGAGTTTGTTGAGGCACCGTTAAAATCTAGTTCAGCATTGGTACCCGCTGTTGCAGTGTTGGTCATCTCAGTGCTGGTTGTCACCGTCGATACAGTCGGTAAATGTATTCGCTTAGACGGCGGTTGTTCCGCTAAGCTTTCTTCGCTGGGCGCATGTTTCTGGCCACGTTGTTTTCGATATTTTACTACTCATAGGTAAGCTTGGGCAGATTCATTGGCGTTTTAGTCTCACCACACTCTTCATTGTAAATCGACCGACACTTTAATAACCAATTGGCCTTATCGTTCGCAAGACAAGACCACACAGGTGATTGTTGGATCGCTCGCGCCAATGAAGGAAGCTGCGCATAAGATAAATCACGAAATGCAGAGAACATCTGACATAGAAATGCGGAGATTCCAGGGTTTCCATGGGTATGCTCGATCGAATGGTATTTGAGTCTATGTTTTATCGATTTGCGAATTTTTTCGATTTTTGAATGGTTGACGCTGCTGACGGA